GGATGGCTCCCCAGGCCTTGGAAAATCTGGGCATGCAAGCAGAAGTGGGCAGCCAGTTTGGTGATTTTTCGGTAGGTGCTGTGTGACTGTGTGGTAATAACCTCTGGCATATTGAGGAATCAGCTTTTAGGGTGAATTATTCATGTTCTGTAACAGTTCTGGAGGAGACAGAAATGCACTGCTCCTCTGAGACACTGGTTCCACTTTGGGACTTTGTGAACCTGCCTTGCTGAATTTGGGTTTTGCAAGGTCTTCCAAGGTTTCCAGATTTGTTAATATTTTGTTTCTTCCCCGAATTTTCTGAAATAAAAGCTTTAATTATTTTTTCCCCTTTTTCTTTTTCCCCCCTGAGTACTGGAGGCTATTTGGGGTTGGTCTGAGGTTATTGTTGTTATTTTTGTGGGGTTTTCTGATTCTGAAGTGCTAAAAGGAAGCAGTGAGGGACCTGTGAACTGCCTCACTGCTTCTCTGAAGGCAGGTTGCTGGAAGGCTGTGCTGGCTGATTAGGGGCTGTTCCGTGGAGATCTGCTGTGCCTGGTTTTTCCTGCTGTTTTGTGTGAATGAGGCTACAGCATGAAGGAATGTGGCCAGAACTTTGGAAGGACCCTAGAACTGACCTTTATTCTTTAGCCAGCAATTTTCCTGTGCTCTGTGCAGCCACGAGAAGGGTTTTTTTTCCTAATAAGACTCTTGCAGATACATCAAGCAGAGCAGGAAAAGTGCACAAGGTTCTTCAGGAGGAAAAGCATTTCACCAAAAAGCACAAAAGCTCCTAAAATCTCCACACCAGTGACCCTTGGAGGGAGCTGCCTGGTTGAAATGGGACCTGTAATTCCATATTGAGCTATAGGTAATAATGAAGCATTTGTGAAATCAGGTTGCTAAGCTGCAGGTATTTTTAGCCTGTGTAATTATTATTTTACTTGCACACTGTATTGGAAATGGGAATCTGTGAGCTCTCTAAGCAGCCAGTGTGGCTCTTGCAAGATGAGCATTAAGTTATGGACCTGATGCTTGTTTTGTGTGTACTTCCCACTAATATATGGAAAAATGTCTGCTGAGCACAGCGACTGCTCCAGCTGGGAGCTTGGCAGTTCTTCAGCACCAGAAGCAGCCAGTCCCTCCCACAGCACACTCGGCCCTGCTGGCCTTGCACGGCACAAGAGCTTTCAGGAAGTTTTTGGAGGAGCTGTACAATCCAGCACTGTCCCCACCAGGTTTTGGCAAACCTGTCAGTAAGGTATTGCTTGCTGCTTTTCAGTGCTGATGTGCCTGGAAATTATAGACGTGGCAGATGATTCCCAGAAGGAAGACATCAAATTGATGAGAAGGAGCTGTATCCTTTCAATTGAGCCTATTTGGGTTTATGAATCTGTAATTATTATTTTATGCTTCTATAGGTTGTGCTTCAAAGCTGCCCTTGTAGGAGGTGGCAGCAGAGACTTGGCTTTCTGGACCACAGATCTGCACTCCCCAAGGAAAGGGGGAATTAACTCTTGGAGGAGCACATACACAGGAGGATACCAAAACATCCTTCCAGTTTCCAGCTGCCTGCTGGAGCTGTTTATGTTGTTAGTTAGGAACCCAACCATCAGACTGAGGATGGGGTTTGTTTGGGAGGGTTTTTTTTTATACAGAATAGCCTTGAAGCTTTAAATTTGAGACTTCTAATCCCTGTTGCCTGGTGGCACGTTGACATTTCATGATGTTGGCAGTGATCTGGCAAGGCCATGTGATCTCTTTGGCATCAAGACCCTGTTCTGTGGTAATAATCAGCTATGGAGGCTGTGAGAAATAATTTTAATAACCTAACTTGCAGTTCCCTGGTTCCACAGACCTTCTCCCTACCGTGCAGGTTATATGTCAGAGTGGGGAGAGGTGTTGGTACCTGAGCAGGAGCTTCTGCAGGCTAAATTAGGAACTGCCTGCCCACATACAGCCAGCCCTGCTGGGTGTGGGATGCTGTTCATGAGGAAGAGAGACCAGAGCAGCAAAGCAACTCCATTTGAAATCACTGCTTTGCCTCAGTAGTAATATTGAGGTTTACTAGTAGGTTTTTTGGGTGGTTTCTGCAGGGAAATTGTTTCTGGTCGAGCGCTCCGAATAAAACAACCTTATGTGCCACTTTTGTAGGAGGATGTGTTATGCAAGACATTTTTAAGATTCAAGTGGTGTAATGGCCATGGAAACTAGTTTGTAGTAGTGTTGGGTGAGATCCATGTCAACCCAAAATACATGTGTCTGCAGAAGGCTGCCCACAGTGATTATATCCCCTGCAGGACACATCTCTGCTGCTCCTCCTCCAAGAGGTGCTCCAGTCCCTTAATCCTGCTCAGACCTTGTCCCAGGGGCTGAGCCAGGCCCCAGGTGTGGTGGTGTAGGGGGTACACGTCTGGTGCCTGGCCCCACATCGAGTTGTGCCTGCACTGATGGTGTGTTCCAAGCAGCTAGAATGCCTTTGCAGCAGTCCAAATATTAGCCTTGGCACCCAGTCAGTGTGTGTGTAAAGCAGTCTTTAAGAAGGTTGGAATTAACATCCAGAATATTTGGGTTTAAAGTCTCTCATTGAATCCATAGGTCAAGAAATAAAACGTGTTTATGCAGCTAATGGCTTTGGAGAGGGGGCACTGAGTGTGTTTAATCTTCTTAGGAAGTTGCTTAATTTTGGAGGGTTGCTCAGGTTTCCTATGGTGTTAAAGTAAAATACTTCTAAATGCTTTCCATGCTCTTCCAAGCCCTGTTTATTCCCACTTTTCCTCCCTGCTTTCCCCAAGCTCGTGAAAAAAGTCATAGTCTCTTCTGCAGAAGAGTCTTCACGTGTAGGACCTGTGCTCTGGTGTGTGTTGGAGTGGAGATGAATTTTGGGGCTGTGTTGTCACTCAGAGTAACTACTTAAGTGTCTTTAGAGAAGAAAGGCTGTTGGGCTGAGAGCAGTCAGTGAGTCCCTGTAGTGGGGAAGCTTTACCCAGAAATGCTGATGCTTTTGCCTGTTGTTTTTTAGTCCAGGCTGCTGTGGTGCCTCTCCCTGGGGCAGGAGGCTGTGGGGACACCGGGGACACCAACCACCTCTGGGGCTGGTTTAACCACTTGGGCCGTGCTCCAGGTGCTCTGGGGACCTTTTGTTCTCTCCTGCTTTTGGAACCCCTGTTCCTGGTGCTGAGGAACCCCCAGCTCTGGGCTCAGCAGGGCTGGAAGGGCTGCTCAGGGCAGTGGTGGAGCTCCTTACAAGAACTCTCTTTGCTGAGCCAGTGCTGTGGTGTGTGGAGTGAACTGGCCTCTAATTTTCATGTTGCTTTTACCAGGCTGCATTTTAGCTAAAAATGGAAGCTTGTGGCCATGCAGATTTTTTTTTTTTTCAGAAGTAGTTTGTCTACTTTTTTTCTTAAATGAGCTCCATCTTTACCATAGAATTGCAAATCTCTGGTTGCCAGGACTGCCTTCTGTGGGTATCACAGGGTGCTCTCAGCGTCCCCAGCTGAAAACTCAACTCTGTGGAAAAGTTTGCTGTTGTGCTTCCTTCCTCTCCTTGCAGGCTGGCTAAAGTAGCTTTTTTTGGGGTTTTTTTGTTTGTTTTTCTTTTTTTACAGAAGGCAGATGAAATCTGCAGCACCTCTCCTGCATTAATGAGGGTGCAGCACAGGACAGTAATGGTGTGTGGTTTGGCCTTTGCTGTTGTGTATTCTTATGTGCCAGCATAAATTTACTTGTTTACATTGCAGGTAATCCTTTCAGAATTTCATTAGGTTCCATTGTCTCTGCAGGGTGGGCGAAGTTTGTTCTGTCAAGACTTCTGAAAGTTGCCCCAGTTGCTCTTTTTTCAGCACTTCAGCTGGCCACGTCCTGTATTTGTGTCTGGGGGGGTGAGGTTTGGCTCTGAGCGTGAGTTACTGTTTTCTGTTTATTTAAAAACGTGTTGTTCTGGCAGTAACAAACAAACCTGCTTACACTGTGATGGTTTCATAATCACAGCATTAAACTGTTCATCTACAAATGAGCTTGGATGAGGATGATCCATATCCTAAGTAGCTTAACCTCCATTCCAGACACTGAAGTGAATTTTCCAGCTAATAGCGAGCTGTAAAATCCGAAATGCGAGAATTTCAGCTTGAAGGACGTGGAGCTGTAGGCTGGCTTTCTGATTTAAGATTATTTTGCTTCAGTACCTTCCTGCTTTGTGCTTGGAATAATGTCCCCCTGTCCTGACACAGTGGCTTTGAGCAGGAGCACTCGGGTGTGCCCTGCCATCCCCCCAGCCCTGTCCTGCTGTGACAGGGGCAGGTCCCCGTGTTTCCATGTGTGAGTGGTTGTCAGTGTTTCAGATCTTGGGGGGGGAGCTGTAATAGTGCTTCGTGCTGCCAGAGGACAAAATTGTTCCAAAATCTCCTTTATTGACCTTGCTGCAAAGCCCGTGTGTGTGTGTTAAACCATTTTGTGGGCCCTAACTGCAGGTGTGTGATTTCCTTAATGTGGCAATTTGTACTTTCTCTGCTCTTTTGGAGCGTTGTGCTCTCACTGGAGCTCCTTAGTGGGAGGTTTATGTAACTTCTGATAAAATAGGTATCTTCATATTTAACTGTGCTCAGAAGGCAAATGCACCTCAGGAACAGGACTGAGCAGAAATAATTTCAGTGCTTTGCAAATGCTGGTTTTTGGGGGGGACGGGGCACTTTGTAGGGCAGTGAAAATCAGAGTCTTGTGTGAGTGAGACAATATTTTGTTACAGTCCTAAACTCTCTGCTGGCCTGGGCTTCTGTGTGGCCAGGGGAAGGGAATGAATGGTCTGAGCATTGCAGGAGTTTTCTTGGGAGAAGAGTGTTAAAAGCTTCTCGACACGAGCGAGTCTTCTGGTTGTTTCCTTCCTGAAGACGGGCCAGCTGTTTGGGAGCTAACAGAATTAGTCTGGGCTTTGATAGGGTTTTAATTTCTGCTGAATTTGTCAGCAATCGGTGCTCGTTCTTGATAATTGTATTAATTCTGGGTTTGGTGTGGTTTTTTTGCAGAATTTACATGTTTGACAGCAGAAGTTGCCTTTCTACTGTAGTGAGAGAAAATGTAAGTACAGAAAGAAGGTAACAACTTTTTTTTTTTTTTTTTTAGTGCTTGAGAAACGTGCTCTTTTTAAAAAGTGACTAACTTCAGATTTTTGGCTGTTGGTCCGTGCAAGCCCAAAAAGTCCCTGTTTTCTCCCTTAGCATGTGTATCCTTATGTCAACAGGAAGGATTTTAAAATGGCCAGGGAACCTGCTAAATAATAGATGTTACTGCCTGCCTTCTGTCAGAGAGGGAGCTGGCACAGCAGAGGGAGACCACAGATGAAACTGTTTCATCTCAGTGGGGCAGGGAACTGTAATAAATAAAGTGATGAGAACAGTCATTCTCTCATGAATGAAAAATTACTTCTGCACCATGTTTGACAAAAGAAGGCCACATTTCTTTTGAGCAAAGTGGCTCTTGTCAGAATGTTCTTTTCAGTGTGTCAGTATTATTTCAACAGAACCTAAAAGTTTCAGAGTTTATATTCTGTGTAATTGTAATTATTACTAATGCTCTTGGAACAGTGAAATCTTCATTACCTTCCAGGCCATAACTTCAGTTTCTGTGGAGCTCCTCAATCTGGGAGGAACGTTGCTAATTGGCCAAGCATTTGCTCAGTGAAATCTGTTTCAATTACTAGATACTTACCTGTTTTTCAAAAAACAGGCAGCAAGCTTTATTTCCCTACCCATACCTCCATCTGGAGATGGGTGTGCTTCAGGATCCGAAGGCACCCTGAATTTTTTTCCTTCTATTTTGGATTATATAAACGTGAGAGGCAACACCTCAGATCTGTTCCACGAGCAATTCTGATCTTACTGTGTTTTCTCCCGACTGAAAACGAAACACAAAATCAATATATACCTCTGCAAACAAAACCCAACCCTCAGCTTTGCCCAGCCAACGTGACGTGGAACCGCTGGCAGCGAGTTGTGTGTAATTCCTTTGTCATTGTGAAAATGCCCAAGCTGCTGCTGTGCCTGTTGCTAATAGGATTTGTGGTATCTCCTAGATTAGCACAGCTCCATTTAATCAGATGCCCTGCTCTGAGCTGTCTGCTGGCCATGCCCTCAGCTGGGCGCTGGGGCTCTGCTGCTGCAAATGGGGTGGGTTTGGCTTTTCGGCCCCGTTGGGGTGTGATGTGTGTTGGCAGAGGAGAGGTGGAGGGAACAAACATCAGCCAGGCTGTTCACAGGAGAAAGGGGATTTGCTTAGGAAATTACTGTGCTTGGGTAATACACAAAAAATTAGCTTTAAACCCTCGGCGTTACCAGACTTTGCATCAGCAATGGCTCGGTGGGATTATGTTACTTTTTGGTAGTAGTGATGTGTGCTAAAAATATCTTGTGGCAAGCAAAGTTTGGCCATCAGGGGATAGAAGTTCTAAGCATTTGACTTAATGATAGCTTTGCTTTCAAATCTGTTTTTTCTTCTTTTAATCTGTAGAGATTATTCACAGGAGAAGGATGGAAGACTCTCTCCCTTTTTTACTCTTTTTGTATAGGAATGCTGTGAGAAAATGAAAGAAGCACAGCCTTATTTCTCTTATCAGGTAGTTCTAGAGAGGAATAATATTTAACCCAGGAATATATGTCTGAATTTATATGCTCTTCCCACTTCTCGAGCATCAGGCTGCAAATAAGTGTGACAGTATTAATGATACCTTGGGTTCAGTAACTGGACCTAATTGGATAAGCAGCTTGAGCTGGGGGAAAAGGACATTGGAGTTGTTACAATGAAATGAGGGGAGTTCTTCCTTAGCCTTGGAATTTTTCTGTCACTGTTTTCTGAGTAGTGAGCTTTACCTTTAAATAAGAATATTACCCCGGGCTCCTAAATGTATCTCCATTTGCAGGAAATATGTGGAAGTTCTGTAGATTCCAAAAGGCTTTTTGCAGTTCAGAAAGTTGGTGCAAAGTTGTTTGGACACTCAGCCTGGGCTTCCATAACTCTCCCCTTACACAGGAAAATAGCTGGTGTAGGTTAGAGAGAAGCAAACCCAGAGCTGCTCCTTTGAGGTGAGTGATTTGAATAATCCCACGGAATGTAACAAATCATGCAAAGGCAGGAGTTGAAGGCAGGAGTTGATTTTCCCGTGTAGGAAGCAGAGGAACAAAGTGACTCTTCCCTGGGTAACTTGTGAAAAGGGATTAGAGCCTTGGGGCACTTGGAGCAGGAGGAACAGGGAACTGCCTCCCAAGTGCCCAGATTGTTATCCCAGCAAGAAGAGAATTACCTACAAGGTATAGGCTGGTCAAGAGGATTAGGGGAATTAGGCTTAGAGCAGAGACACTTAAGCACTTCAGCCTCTGGAAAGGTCTCCAGTGAGTTGGAGAAAGTGAGTGTGTTATTGCTGAGCAGCTGCCTTCAGGAACACACCAACCCAGTCAAAAAGAGGGAGGTAAGCATGGGTTTGGCTGCTGCCTGTTTCTTTGGGAAAAAGGGCTGTGGAACTGGAGGAGGGACTTTTTTTGTGAGGTTGGTTTGATTGAGAAGCTCAGTAATTTCTTTCAAAACTCCAGGAGTAGAATCATCATCTATAGGTTCTTCTAGAAACCTTCTTTTAAGGTTAAATGCCTTTACAATATGCCAAGAAACAAAAATCTGTTATTTCATGATATTTGATTGTGTTTGTTTGCAATGAGCAGAGAAGTAAGAGCAGAGACTATTTAATATATGATCTCTGCCTGTAATAGGAATAAATCTATGTAAAAACTTCCTATGTACCAAGAGTGAGAAGAGACAAAAGTATTTTGTGTTCCCATACAGTTCCCTGACCTTACCTGTTGTCCTTGGTCTTTTAAAGTTATTTTTTTTCAATACAGGATACTGGTAAGCTCTGATTTACAGCACAGCTAAAAAGAACACAGGAGGATGCAGCCTTTTTTTTTTTCCCCATAGAACTCATATTTCTACCATAAATTTAATTGTCTAAGGCTGAGTATAAAAGAAATAGAAAAACAGCCAAGCTGGTTTGCTGTTTGTCCCATAAATTTTGCAGTCTTCTTCAGAGAACTCCCTATATTTTAATGCCCTTGGCTGGGTTAGGATTTTCATTTCCTGAGTGTGAGTGAGTTCAGTCATGTTGGCAGGAATTAGAACTTCCTGTTGATGTTGAAACAACAAAGACTACAAAGGGAATGTGGAAATCTGGTTTAAACAATTCCTATGGATGCTGACAGAAAGGCAGCTCAGAGTTTTTGGAGTTGCTTGGAATGCAGAGGGGCTGACATGGAACTCTGAAAGTGTATCCAGCTCCAGGATAGGAACTTCCATGGATCTGTGGTGTTGCAGATGGGAAAGCCCTGGAGGGCTGTGTGTGTTCAGCTCCTGGTTGTCACACAGAGAACGTTGAGAGGGGCAGGATCCACAGGAGCTGCTGTAACAAGAGCAGTTGTTAAATTCCTTGAACTCTCTGCTGCCTGGGATGATGGAGCTGGTTCTGCACGGAGCTGGGAAGCTTTCTGGGGTGTTGCTGCACCAGTCTGGGGCTGCTCACTAAAAAGCAGCTTTCCTTCAGACTCACTGGAGTTCCCAGTCAGGCATTTTTGGGAGCTCAGCTGCACAGGAGGTGTGCAGGCTGTGCCAAGCACTAAGACACAAGCATGAAATGATCTTGTATGATTTGTTTTAAGCTCTCTTCTGCCTAAATAATCCAGAATGCAACTACAGGGCTCAGTTTCTGAAGTGAACTTTCTTAATATGGGTTTTTTCCCCAGGATAAGGGTTCATCTCCCAAGGCCTCTCCCTGTTCCATGCAAGGAAGCTTTGTTGCATTGAAATGCAAGAGAATTCTATTACATAGTGCACAAAACCTGCAGAAATAAATTGGCACTATTTTAAGGAGAGTGTGTCTGCTTTGACTGACATGAGATTATTCCTCCTATTGTGTTTTTAAATAAAGCTGCTTGTAAAAATCTTCAGTGAAGTTCCCTGTACCTGCAGCTGGAATTCTGGTGTCCTGGATCTTTATCATGATCCCATCAGTGAATTGCTGTGACCTTGAGCAGAGCACTTAAGTCTTGGATTGTAATTTCTTGCTCTGAAATAGGAATGATACCATCTCTGAATTCTTTGTCTGGGAAGGTCAGTATTTGCTTAGTAGGAAATGGGCTTATATATTAACCTGGAGAATGGCAGAAGTAGAACTGGATATCCAAAAGCTGAAATATATCTGAGAAAATGCAGTTTATTCTTGAAAACAGCCTTTAGAGTTTCTTTATGACAAGAGTAGTGCACTCCTGTTCCACCAGGTGTGTGAACTGCACAGGAGCTGCAGGTGTGCTGAAAGGGTGGAGAGACCCACGGGGGGTTGGTGGGAGGTGTAGCATGAACAAAACATCTTGAGGAACAAAAGAGCATTCAAAAGAGAAGGAGGATAATAAAACACCCGGGATGGGCTTTGTCTTAACTGGATTTTGGACTGAGCTGAACAAGCAGTCTCAAAGGGGCTTAGGGATGACCCTGGAACCAGAAGAGAGAAAGAAGAGACCTCATTTCACAGGGGAGTGAAAGGGCCTTGAAGTTGTGTGAGGGGAGGTTTTGGGAGAGAAGCCAAGTAAAATTCCTTTTCTAAAATGTTGTTGGCTTCAGAGAATAGTATAAAACTTGTAAATGATGCTGTGACAAGATCTGGCATTTGTTCCTTGAGATCCTCAGTTTGGAAAATAACAACTAATATGGAGAGAGATGAGTCTGGTTATGGGGGATGGCAATATTTAGGCAATGCTGAAGTCTTAACTATTTTGAAACTTTTTCTGGCAGTGGTGTTTGTTCCACTGCTCTAATTTGCCTTGACAGTATGTTCTCTGTTACTGCGACAGGATAAAAACTTGGAAGTTATCCTCATCTTTCTCCTTGGGAAGGGCTTTAGGAGGAAAACAAAACCCGCATGCTTGCAAAGATAACTAAGCTGATTAAATCTTAACAGAATAATATGGAAAGCTGCTAGCAAAGCATTTGCTTTATTTTAATAGTAAAGGGTCAATTCTGGCTAATAAAATGTTCTAAAAAACACAGTGCCCATGTTTATTTATAAACAGGTGCTCCGTGTAGTGTTTGAAATTGGAACCAGTCATCCTGTGCTGCAATAAAAGATAAACTTGATCAGCACGTTTCTTCAGCATCTTCTGCTGCTGTCAAGCTGCACAGATTTTAAAACAAAAAGTTTCAGAGCAGCTGAGTTTGAGACGTTGGAATGCCAGGGAAAGTGCCAGCGATGTCTTTGTGGAGCAGAGACTTTTCAGGAGAAGTTGGGTGCTCAGGGGGAAATGTCTGTGTGGTTGTAGTGCTGGGAGACAATCCAGAGGCTGAGAAGCTCTGAGGATGGTTCAGGGGTAGTGCTGGTTTGTAGAGCCTGGCTGGCTGGCAGACAGGGAGAGATGTGAGGAACCTGCTGCTGATGGACACCAGGAAAACAGAGTCTTAGAGGGGAGGAATGTCTGTGGGAAATGATTTTTAAACTCCTCCCCTCACCCGAACATTCAAAAAAACCCCTGTTTTTTTTCTCTGACAACATGTTTTCTCTGACATCCATTCTGGATGTCTCAGGGACTTTCCAGCAGTTATCAAGTAAAATCCTGAGCTGTGTTTGTGCCTGATCTCCTTTTATCCAGGTATCAGAACAACATTTTTCATAACCACCATGTTACAGACAGGGTTTGTAATGCTTTTTATGGTATTTTGCAAGTGCTGTAAATACTTTTGAGGTGCTTATTCTTTGCTAGGAGGATTCCTTACTCTGATCTGAAGACCTACAGGGAAGGTCTGACTTTGCTGTCTGATGTTGGTGTTATCTGCTCGTTCCCTCTGGAGAAACTTGAGTTTGTACAAAACTGAATCAGAAACACACTAATGCAAAAAGAAAAAAAAAGAGGGGCTGGAGGAAGGAAATAAGTCCAAATTATGTTTTGTTCCCTGTGACTGGGAGCTGAGCACATTTGGGATGGTCACACACCGAGGGGATTTCAGAGATGTATTTTCACCTGGATTCCAGGTGAAATCAAAGTGCTGTTTGAAATGACTTGTCTGCTCCTGTAATATCAAATTATGGCTTCTGCTAATTGTGCTGATTGCCTCCTGTCTTTCAGCTTTCTGGCTGTTCCCGAGGTGGCAGTGGAGCACACCTTTAGCACAGGAAAATGAGTGAGCTGGACCAGTTACGCCAGGAGGCCGAGCAACTGAAAAACCAAATCAGAGTATGTATTGTGTCCTCAGCACAAATGAAGGGTCATTTTGTGTCCTCAGGGGGCCAGAGATGGACAGAGATGATGCATTAAGTGCGTCCAGAGTGTCAAAATTAATACAGGAAGGGACAAGCTCATGTAACTGCTTTAGAAAATTACTTTTTGGTCTTGGATATGGCTTGGAAAATAATAGCTACGTAAACAATGCCCAGAATTGCTTAGATCAATAGGGATGTTTGCTGAAGATTTTCTGAGCCAGACCATGACTAATGTTAAGAAACCTGCTGCTTAAAATAAGGTCAGTGATAAGGTTAGTCAGGGCTTTGTCCAGTTAGGTCTTGAAAACCTCCAAGGCTGGAGACTGCAGAGCCTGCCTGGACAAGCAGTTCCATGGCTTGGCTGCCTTTGTGGTGAAAATCCTGTCACCTTTCTCCCAAAAGAAGAAGAGATTTCAAAGTCAAGTGCTCGGTGTGTTGTGACAGCAGGCAGTGCATTATTTTAATGCTGCAGGGTCCTGTCTGGGTGACAGGCAGAAATGCTTTCTGAACCTTGCTTTGAGGGGGGTTCATCAATTTGACAGAGATGAATAAATGTACAGAACTTCCTCCAATTTCTCTCATTTCCTTCTCTTGCAGGATGCTAGGAAAGCATGTGCAGATGCCACCCTGGCTCAGGTAAGCATTTCAGAGTTCAGCAGCAATTAGGAAAATGTGTCTCCTTTACAAAAGGAAAGTATGGTTTAAGAAGGTAAATGCAAGGGAATCCTTTTTTGCCTCCTTTAGCAAGTTTTTTTTATTTTGCCCCTGGGTGTTTTCTTCCAGAAATAAGTACATGTTTGTCCAGTTTCTGAGAGCAGTGGCCTTGAGCAGTGGTTTCTCTGAGTGACTCAGGGCACATTGCTGCTGCTTAATGGAAAATAACGCTCTGCTGTGGATGTGGCAGCAGTGCTGTTGTGTTAACCCTGATAATCTGAACCATGGGGCCTGCTGAGGTTAAATGTCTGCCACATTTATCTGTACAGGGGTATAAAACCCAGATCAAAGGTCTGAAATCCTAGAAGTCTAAGAAGATTCGACCTCAGCCAAGTAATTTCTGGGAGTGTGTAAATGCAGCGGGGCTGCTTTGTCCGTGTGATAGAATGACATAACTTTGGATTGGGCAGTTTTTAAAGAGCTCAGTTGATATTGAGAGTGGGGGACTTTGGTCTGCACTGGGCTGCTTGTTTAGGTGTAACTGTGTGAGGTGATGCTTGTGGAGCAGGGGACATGCAGTGAGTGCCCCCGTTGCTGTTTCAGATCACAGCCAACATCGACCCCGTGGGGAGGATTCAGATGCGCACCAGGAGAACGCTCCGGGGACACCTGGCCAAAATTTATGCAATGCACTGGGGGACTGATTCCAGGTGGGTGCTGGGGGTACAGATCAGCTCGTGGGGCTTCACTGTTCCTTGGGAAGTTGAGTGCCCAGGACTTGGTACCACTGGGAATCACCAGTTCTGAGAGAACTCGGACGGCCAAGAGAATTCAGGAGCACTGAATGCCACGGTTTTCCTCTTGATGTCCATGTTTTTGGAACCCAAATCAAAATTCAGATCCAAAGTACCACTCCTTGTCTGCTTGCCTGAAAAACATAGTTATGGTCCCACATGGGTTCTGAGGAACTGTGGAAATAGAGCAGATTCCATTATCAGTTGTCTTTTTTCCTGACAACTGCTGCTGTTCACTTAGACTCGATGGCACTGGTATCAGCTGCCTTCATCCTCTTTCCCTTACAATGTTCATCACAAAGGTGTTCCTCCTCGTCTGCCCACAGTGATTGTGTTTCCCTCCTGCTTCCTCTCTAGGCTTCTAGTTAGTGCCTCCCAGGATGGCAAACTTATAATTTGGGACAGCTATACTACAAACAAGGTAAGGCCAGCTGATACATTGCCGTGTAATTCGTTTGTAAATGCAAAAAAAAAGGAAGTGTTGCCTGTCATGATTTTGGCTGTGTTGCTTTCCCAGCCCCAAGTCCAGATTTTGAATTCTCCAAAGCAAACAAATAAAGAGCAGAGCAGTGCCCTCAGTGCAGTGTGGTGTGGAACTGTGCACCACAGATGGAGAACGGGGAAAGACTGAATTCCAGAGAAAGTTTGGATGTGTTTTGATGCTGCAGATAAAGTGATTAACAGAGTGCAAGCAGTAATGAGCAGGTTGCACCAGAGGGGTCAGAGATTTAGGCATAGCCCTAATAATTTGTTGTCTGCAGTCCAGTGCTGCGAGACCTGCCATCCCCAGTGAGTCATCACTCTGTGTGTGCAGTCACATGATGCACTTCAGGGTTACTTTTACTTTTGTTTGACAGTGTTGGTGTTTACTGGTTATGGGCACTGTTACCAGGGCTGGCAACAGTTCTCCTCACCCCTTGGAGTTGGGCTGACAGAGCTGCCCCAGTCTGTGCTGCACAGGACTGTGGGACTGGCTTTATTTCAAATGCATTTTCATAGCATTAAAACCAATTTTGCCAATGCACTGGAGCAAATGATGTGCTACAGAGGAGAGAGAAGCAAACAACTGCAGCAGCAACTCCTGAGACTGGGATTATTGTTGAACCCCAGCTGTAAAACTAATGAATCCATAACTTCAGTAAAGAGTAATAATGTAGTTTGCAAATTAAAAATAAACCCTCTCCCTTTGCCTTCATCCTCCTCCTCTGGCCTCAACCTGCATCTAAATTACTGTACCAACTAAAAGATGGTAAAATAATCACTGTATACCATGATTTCTGTATTAGTATCTTCAGTTCTTGTATCTGTGATCATTAATCCATGCAATATTTTTGGCAGTTCCAGCACACACTGGAAGTAACACAGTGTTGTCATAAATATGATCATTCCCTGATGATAAAATAAAATGGCTCAAGGTGAATATTCCAACCAATTCCTTGGTAGAGGAATTCCAGAAATGAACTGGTTGTGGTTTAGTACAGGGGGTGGGATTTTTTTAACTGCTGATTGTTGCAGGTTCACTGATCCCTGTCTGTTCCTCTGCTGCTACAGAAATCTCTACTTAAGGAATTCAAGAAGATTGTTAATATTGCAGGAAGTGCCACCATATTTTTAAGGGTTATCAGCCCTTTCTTAAAGCAAGTTTGAGGGATGAACACAATGAGTTAACAAGACAGAACAGGTTTAGCTTCCATAATTATCTAAAAAAAGTTCTTTGAGCACAGAATGACAAGGAAACATGGAGTAGTTATTTAACTATGAAGCTTGATTGCCTGCAGTGGGTTTCCAAAGCGGGATTTAAATGGCAGTGGAAGCAGCGATTTCCTTGCTTGTTCATTCACAGCAGCTCAGCCTGGAATTGGCACTTTTGCTGACTGTGCTTGGAAGTCAATATTTTCCTGAACCTATAATAAACCAATAGTAATCAGGGCGCTGAAATGAAATAATTTTACTTTTTACCAAAATCGCTGATCAAACTGGATCCAGGGAAGGCAAATCTGAGGTTTGATTACGTCATCACTCGGTCTGACGAGCGATAGCTGCAAGTTTTACCCTCAAAATAGTTCTGATGCTCCAGCAGCTGCTTCCTTCTTGCCCTTCTGCCAAAGAGAGAAGGGTGTGTTGAGGGACAGGTGAGAACCTCCCTGCTGGGCCGTGGGTGTGGATGACTCGTGGGTGTGTGTGTTCCAGGTGCACGCCATCCCCCTGCGCTCCTCCTGGGTCATGACTTGTGCGTACGCTCCCTCGGGGAATTACGTGGCTTGTGGTGGGCTGGACAACATCTGCTCCATCTATAACTTGAAAACTCGTGAAGGGAATGTACGTGTGAGCCGGGAGCTCGCCGGGCACACAGGTGAGTGCTGCTCAGGGGGCTCCAGCTTACCCGGGGAAAATGAAAAAAAAAAATTCTCTCTCAAATCCAGTTTACCAGTTAAAAAGACACGCTTCCTTCCTCAGGCAGGACCTCAGCTGCAGACTGCCTGGTTTTTAAATGTTTTTAAACCGTTTTCCTGCTGCAGAATTGAACAAACCCCACAGCTGGAAGCTGATGCTTGCAGGTTTTCCTGTTTTGCTGTAGTTGGGATTTTCAGGGGATGTTTGTGCTGTGTGAAGTGGAGGTGGCTGGCGCTGATTTTTGTCATTGATGGCTGGGCAGGTGGGACTGGAGTACAAAGATGCTTCAGAGCGTTCAGATGAAGTTCTTTGATGCCACTGTAGGGAAACATCCAATGTCCATGCTCTGGCCTTTGTGCTGACCAGGAATGTAGTTTAATTTCCCCCAGTAGTTGCATGACACAGTCGAGGTTTATCAGCATTTGTTGCTCCTGGTGCAGTGACACCCTTGCAGGCTCAGTTCCTTAGTTTCCTGTGTGCAGTGCAGGCTCAGCTGCCCCTCTCCCCAGCTTGGCCAGTGGATTCCACCCCTCTGTCCTCCTTCCCCTGGCTGGGCTGGGTGTGATCTGTGAAGAACCAAACCACATTTTGTCCAGAACATTGGAGGTTCCAACACAAACATTGCCTGTTGCATTCTGGGCTTCAGGAGAGGAGGGAGCAGCACATAATCCAGCCAGTTTGCAGCATGGAGAGTAATCCCTGGCCTTCTCTGTGCCCCTTTTATTCTGTTCCCAGGCTACTTGTCCTGCTGTCGTTTCCTGGATGATAATCAAATCGTCACCAGCTCTGGCGACACCACTTGGTGAGTGTGACATTTGGATGTGATTTCACTGCAGTTAACGTGCTATTGCAATGTTTTTTTTTTTTAATGCAACTGTTTGGCTTTCAGAACTGAGTCTATTAAACTAACAACTTTCCTCACGCTCTTTTTGTATTCAGTATTTGTTACTTCAGAAGTCATATTTGGATTTTTCTAATGCAGAATTTGGTTTCTTGTTGTTCAGAAGAGCTCCTAGAAAATATTCTACAGTGACAGTAGCTGGGGTTTCTGAGGAGAATGTAGGTGTATGTCTTCATAAATACTGGCTTCTGAACTATAAAAGGCCTCCATCTTTTTTCATAGGTGTCTTTATTATATCTAATTCTTAAAAGCATTGCAGTTCTTCCAGGCAGCAGCTCTTAAAGCCAAGGTTGTCTAATAAATACCTCTCCTACACAGTGTCAGTCTCTTTGAATGCCTAATGTGTATTAGTTCACTGATTCTGAGTATGGAATATATATGGGGTTAAAATATGTTTCTAAATATGTGTTGGTGTTTAAAAAAAAACAAACCACAACCACAACCAACCAAACAAAAAAAAAAGCAAACCAAGAAGGCTTTGTTGAAATTACACTCTTTAAAAGTGAAAGCAGCTGCTTCAGGAGTTATCATTGTAATTCTAGAGTTGCCTGGATAACAGTTTGTCCTTGACATCACTTGAATTCAGCCCAGCTTCAAAGCACAGTATCAGAGCAGAGTCAGCTCTTGTTTGCCTGGTGCAAACCTGCCACTGATGGGTCTGGTTTACTGAGAAATTACAGAAATTGAAAAGCCTGACTCTTCTTAAGGGTTTGGGCCTCCTGTAAGGAGGTGGTAGTGTTGTTTCATCCCTTTATGCTCTTTAATTATCACTGTAGTGGTGATTTTGCTGACTTGCAACTTTAAGATCAGACATAATTCACAGAATTACACATCCTCAGTGGGTCTATAAAAATGAGAAATGCTGACTCAGCTCTTGCTGTAGCCTTACCACTGCTGGTTTATATGAAGCTGTGGTAGTGCTGGACAAGTCGTTGCATGGCACAAGAACTCTGTGTATGAACAGTGGTGAGTGTCAGTCTTTAGTTTTTTGCACTGTTTTTTGATTTAAACCCCCCAATATTATAAAACTGAACATGGCTTTAAGGTCTTCTATGCACAGTTATCCTGGAACAGCCAAATAGTTCAACAAAACAGTGTTTATTTCTGCAGTCAGTATCAATCCTGTTGATGCTTTAGGGAGTTCTACTCCAGCACTGATGTAGATGAACAGGTTCAGGGAAGGATTCCTGTCTCACCTGACGGAGCACAGACGTGTTGACTTTTGCCTTTTGAACCCTTCTTTCCAGCGCTCTCTGGGACATAGAAACTGGTCAGCAGACAACCACATTTACTGGGCACACTGGAGACGTGATGAGCTTGTCCCTCGCTCCCGACGCCCGGTGTTTCGTTTCTGGTGCCTGCGACGCCTCTGCCAAGCTGTGGGACGTGAGAGAAGGAATGTGCCGGCAAACCTTCACCGGCCACGAGTCGGACATCAACGCCATCTGTGTGCGTACCACCGACCACCTGGGGGGATTTCAGCTCCTGAGCCTGTGCTCTGGGGGGTGGTGCTCCCAGGTTTTCCTAAACAATAGTTCTGGAGCTGAGGTGGTGAGTGGAAACTGGCTGCTCTTCCACGCTCCTCATTTCCTGGCCTGGCTCAGGAACAGGGTGGCCAGCAGGTCCAGGGAAGTGATTCTGCCCCTGGACTCAGCACTGGTGAGGCCACCCCTGGAGTGCTGTGTCCAGTTCTGGGCCCTCAGCTCAGGAAGGACATGGAGGGGCTGGAGCAGGTCCAGAGAAGAGCAACAAGGCTGGGGAAGGGACTCAAGCACAAGTCCTATGAGGAGAGGCTGAGGGAGCTGGGGCTGTTCAGCCTGGAGAAGAGGAGGCTCAGGGGAGACCTCCTCACTCTCTGCAACTCCCTGACAGGAGGGGGGAGCCGGGGGGGGTTGGTCTCTTTTCCCAGGCAGAGATCAGCAAGACAAGAGGGCTGGGTCTTCAGCTGTGCCAGGGGAGGTTTAGGTTGGATATTAGGAAGAATTTCTTTGCAGAGAGGGTGCTCAGCCATTGGAATGGGCTGCCCAGGGAAGTGGTGGATTCTCCATCCCTGGAGGTTTCTAAGAAGAGACTGGATGTGGCATCAGTGCCATGGGCTGGGAACCACGGCGGGGTTGGATCAAGGGTTGGACTCAATGATCTCAGAGGTCCCTTCCAACCCAGCTGATTCCATGATTCTGTGATTCTCCACTGGTTTTGCCCATTAGTGGAGAGTCATGTCCTCTCACGTGCTGCTTCCTATTCCCACTCATGTACAAAATGGTGTGTTGGGTGAGACAGAGGAACCAAACCTGCAATCCTGTGTGTCCTTTCCCTCCCCACTGCAGTTCTTCCCCAACGGCAACGCGTTTGCCACGGGCTCGGACGACGCCACGTGCCGGCTCTTCGACCTGCGGGCCGACCAGGAGCTGATGGTCTATTCACACGACAACATCATCTGTGGCATCACCTCTGTAGCATTTTCCAAGAGTGGCCGTCTGCTCTTAGCCGGGTATGACGACTTCAACTGCAACGTGTGGGACACGCTGAAAGCTGATAGAGCAGGTGAGGCTTTGGGGTTGAACGGGGGGATGTCTTACTGGAACAGGCTGTGCAGGGAGCTGGGGGAGTCACCGTCCCTGGGGGTGTCCTAGGGGATGATCAGTCAAAGACTTGATGATCTCAGAGGTCTTTTCCAACCCTAATGATTCTGTGATGCTGAATGTGTGGACTGAGTCTTGTGCAGAGACCTCTCAGAACTCACAGTCTCACCTTCAGAACTCTCTGATAACCTGTTTTAGGGTGACCAGTGATGTTAACATACAACACTGCTCAAGGGTGGATGCTTGGGAACAGGAAAACTGCCATTAAAAACAAGGGCTTGGGGTGGAGGGATTATTTTTTTTTAAGACTTTATGGCTTTGTTTATGTGTTAACTATTCAAAGCAATTCAACATTAATGTTGCTGTTTATACACAGGAATTTTTTTCCTGGTGTTTGTAGCAGTAGTTGTAGAGACAACCAGCAGAACAACAGAGACTGTTGAGTTTATCTTTTGAGGAAATGAATGTGAAATTTATGGTCCAGAGAATAAGATAATTCAGCTTCAGTTCTTTAAAATGAAAACTTTTATTAGAAAAAAGGAAGAAAGATACAAATCAGGCTGCAAATGTTTCATTATTTTCATCAGAGAACATGGGATGAGAACAAATATAATGTATTTAAATCTTCTGAGGCTTCAGCTGACCAGGCAGATTCAGCACTTGTATCATGCCTGATTCTACATTGAACACCTTTGTGGTTCTGGTTTTGTACAAGTTTATAAGACTTCTTGGTGCTGTTTTTGTTTTACCAAATTGCAGCACTTACTGTTGGTGGTAGAACAAGGAGAGTCCTGTGAACGGTCAAATTCATGTAGAAAAATTAATTTCAAGTCTGTCAAGAATATCTTGGCTCAGTGCTGTGGACTGGGAAGAGCTTGAACCTAATTAGGTTTTCTTTTTACCTCCTTGAAACTGTTTAATTGAAGGGGATAGAGGAAAATGTTGCCTCCCTTAATTTTTCTGTTTAATGTCTCAATTCTTTTTTTAATGGTGCTATAATTGAATTGTAGCACATCTCCATATTGACAAATAGATTGTATGTAGGAGTCTGTCTTGTAAGTGCTTGTAAAGGTAGCAAGATTAAATTGGATGAAAAATGCTTTAAGTTTGTAACATAATCCAGTTTAATTTCTGGTTTTACACGTGTAAAAACTTTGCAAAATTTAACTGATCTTTATCCTTGTGGAGAGGAAATGGCAAGTGCTGTGCAGTGTGACATTGTCAGAATCTTCAGGGCTGTGATTTCCCAACTCACCAGAGGTCAATGAAGGTCATAAAGAGGGGAACATCCAGGGAAGATTTTGGAGTAATGCCTTCAGTGAATGACCCCCTTGGGAGCACACCCAGTTTTACCTGAGTTTGTGCTCGTAAAACCAAACATCCCAGCTGTGTTTGTTGAGGATTTTTGACTGTGTGGGTTGGCTGATCCAACTGAAGAAGTCATCCAGGAATGCATTCCCAAATAATGCTCCCTGTCCCCAGGTGTCCTCGCCGGTCACGATAACCGTGTCAGCTGCTTAGGTGTGACTGATGATGGCATGGCAGTGGCAACAGGATCATGGGACAGCTTCCTCAAGATCTGGAACTGAAGTAGGTGGGTATCCAATTCATTCCTGAGGGCTTGGCCTCCTTAGGGGTCCAGAGAGCCTTGTGCCAGCCCCAGCCAGTGCTGTGTCACTGGGGCTGCAGCTTAGCATTCAGATTAGGAAAGGCACTGAGGAAAAAAAAAAAAACAACCAGTTGGGTTTTTTAGAAGACTATTGCTTTAATGTATGCAATGACATTTCTCTGCTGGCCTGTTTTTGCCATCCTTTATTCTCCTGTGCTGTTTCTTGGGCCCGGGTTGGTAAATAAGTGGAATGGGGAGATAATGGCTGGGTGCGTCAGGGGGAGCCAGAGCAGAGCTGGAAACTTGATTGCAGTTTAGCCAAGAGCAGCTCCTAATAAATAAATGTTTGTGTGTGTGGCAGAACTCGAGGACTCCACGACTGGAAGAAGTTCCCAACAAAATTAAACACGATAGCATATCCAATCCAACCATACTAACTCGGACCCCCATCCTCCCCAACTCAAAGGGCAAGATCTTCTCCGTCTCCTGTTGCTGAAATGAAGAGCACAATTACCTTTCCAAGAAGAATTTCTGTGTTGTAAGCAAAATGAAATTGTGCATTCCTTTTGGGACCACTTTTTTTTTTCTTTTTTTTTTTTTTTTTTTTTTTTTTTTTGTCTTGAGAATTTAAAAATGAAACACTATCATAAAAGCATGACCAGAAAATAAACTTGAGCATAATTGTGAAAACAGTTTAGCTTTCACTGTAGTTTCCAAGTTGAAGTTAAGGACTTTTATCTCACACACTTGCAAATTTTAAAAGTCATGTTTGTAGCAGGATTTTTTTCAAGTTTCCTTTTTAAATACATTTCTTTATGTATTTAATTGAGCAAAACAAGGGAGTCCTAGCCCAGAGCATCTGGGGGTTGTTAACGCTGTAAATTTAGTCCCTAATTTTTTTTTTATTTTATTTTCTAGTATCACAGATAATTGTTGCACAAAACTTGGCATATATAGGATAATGTTAAGCAGTAAGGTAACCAAGCACATGCTGTAAAAGGTAATGAATGCTTGTTTAAAGAATCCTTTCACCTTTTATGGATAACAAATGCAATCCTTGGTCCCTCCTGCCCCCCCCTTTTTTCACCACACTGATTTTTTTAATCTGTTTTGGTTTTGTCCACTTGAAAGGGCAGTTTATATATCCTAACACTATCCTATAAGTCTCAACAACCAGGAATCTCTGTTTTCAAAAGAGACCTATCCTACACTTGGGTATTGAGTCAATTCTTTGTGTATGAAATGATGTACAAATCAATGTTTTGAAAATAATGATCTTGAACTTTCTAAGTTAAACAGAAAAAAAAAAACCTTTTTTGATTGTTTGCCATATTGGGTGGGTTTACTCTTAGAATCGCATGCTGTAGAAATGCTAAAAAGTGCATATTGGACTAAAGTCCTTAGATGTTTTTTCTTTGAAGAAATAACCTGTTTAAAAACTGTAACCATTGTCGCTGTATTCATTTCTTGTTGCTACTCTGTGCATAAATCTCTGAAGAACTCCAGTACAAAGCTATGCACGTTTTGGAGTAGCGTGATAAAGTCACTTTTTTTTATTATTTTTTTTTTTCCTTCTTCTTCCTTTTTTTTTTTTTTTTTTTTTTCTTTTTTTTTTTTTGTTTTAGAAAAAGAAAAACAAAAAAAAAACAAAACAGCCTGTTCAAACAATCGCTGTCAACAAAAGATTCTGGGGAGTGGGAGGAGGGAACCTTGACCATCTTCTTTCTAAAATCAGTTCCTCACAGCCAGTTCCTCTTGCAGGATGAGTCCTTTGCATCTGATCAGAGTCATTTTTGTAATGAGCAGGTTTTCCTGGCTTTCTTTTCAAATAAAATGTTAAAAGCAGCAGTGTTTGGACAGCAGATTGTTCTGTTAAACTTTCCTATCTTCTCACTGTATCCAGAAATGCTCCTTCCTAGCAGCAGTAGTAGCTTTTCTCCATTTTGTTTTTTCTGCAACATTCTGTACAAAAATGTGCTGTAATTGTGCGTTAGGCCTGGATTTGGCATAAAAGATGAATTCCCTCTTATTCTCTTTCATGAAACTACTCTGTAGAGCTTTCTCCACGCCCTGTATCCCTCTTCACCTTTTGTATTTAATTTTAAAGTCAGTGTACTTCAAGAAAGCTGGATGCAAGATAGATACTATATTAAAATGTAATGTTATTTAAGATGTAATAAAGCAGTTTGACATGAGTTTTGACTGATCTGTTTTGCAGCTTATTGTTCAACCCACAAAACAGCTTCTGTGGCAGGATTGGAGTTGTGAAATTAAAACGTGCAAGAGGAGGGAATGATGTCCCCAAGCAGATGGTCTGGTGTTTTTAGATGGCTTGGATTGTTAATGGTTCGTGCAGGTAACTCCAAATGCAGGTGGCCACTGTGGTTCCTGTGGTACCCATCCCAAAAATGCCTTGTGGGATGTGAGTGCAACACCTGAAGAAGGAGATCAAAGCAAAATGCTCAGTAACTTCTCTTAAAACTTCTGTGTCCTTTAATAGGAAGAGAGTTGAGTGGAAATCTTGTGTTATTGCCCTGTGAGGACCTGGCCCCAGCAGCTCAGTTGTCCTTGCTGTAGGTGTTGAGCAGGGTAAGTCAGTGCCATTTTCATGCTCAGTAAGAACAAACTCCCCACAGGGCAGAATTTTATCTAAGATAATTCTTTTAAGGAAGGATTTCATACCCAGAGGAGCAGGTTCCTGACACGAGGTGTTGAAAAGCAGTTGGTTTAACAACGTGGCGTCGGTCAACTTGGGGGGTTTTGTTTTGCATTTTCAGTGAGGAAAGTCTCCTGTTCTGACCCAAACAAAAGTGTATTTTCCCTCCTTTCGCATCGACCAAGAGAAATTCCAGTGCCATGGCTTGGTTTCATACCAAACATGGAAATTCTCAGCCTCAGTGGAGAAGCTTTGAAAAGCTGTGGGTATGGAAAATATGATGGTGACATGACTTAACCAGCAGCCATGGACTGCCAGCCTTGGGCCTTTGGATTCCACACACTGGTAAGTAGCTCATGGCTGGAAATGCTTAAATTTGGGAATTCCAGTTCTGTCTTTTCCAATTCCAAATGGTATAACTGGGGTTTTTTTCCCCCACTCATGTGGAATATTTTTATTCCAACAGACATCTCACGTGTGACTTTGTCTGGTCTGTAATAAAATCAATGAAGGCATGGTCTGTCTTAATCCATGTGTTACATCACTGTGTCCTGCCCATGCTGGCCATAAAATACCTGCCAGGACAGTGATTCCTTGTGCCTTGTGGAGCCCTTTGTGATTTATTTGAAATGCAAACAGTTGCAGCTGGCTCTTATTACAGAGAGGGTTCTGTTACACATGAAACTTTGTGATTTAAAAAGGGATTCACAGTTGCCTGGTCCTGGTAACATAAAGGACTTCCATGGGGCTGGAATCCTCTCATGGAGCTGCAGGGAAGGAGGAGTGGAGGAAGAGAGAACAGATTTCTCAACCTCAGTACCCAGAGTTAGGACTTAGAATATTTTCTGTGCCCAACGTGGCCTTTAATTTCTTAGTGAATTAAATGTATTTTAAAAGATCTGAGGTGCCAGTAGGAAAAAAAAAAAGTGAGTTGGGCATTAAGTGCCCTGAGTGTTTGAAATCAGCTGTGAGACACACTTAAAGTGACTGATTGAATCATGCCCTGTAAGAGCTAAAAATAGAATAATCTGGGTTCTGGGAAGTGGCAGAGTAAATAAAGAATAATAAAACCTGTCACCCATGCTGAGTTCTGTGGGACTTGGTCTGAGGCGAGTCAGGATCCTGTGTGGTTTTGTGATTAACACTTTGTAGTGGAGGTGTAACCATGAGTTCAGATTAGAGGGGATAGAAGAAAAGGAACAAGTTGGAGCAGCAGTTGGCTGTTTCTGCACAATGATGGTCTGTGTTCCTTCTCTTCATATCATCCTCAGAGTCTGCCTGTGATTTAAACGTGGATTCCTGGTGGATCTGAGCTGGATTTACACTCCACTGTGTCATAATTCCAAAGGATGTGAAAAGTTGAGTTTGTTCTGTGTTGGGGCTGTAGGAGAAAGTTTGGAAAAATTAAACCATAGATTTCAGTTTCACTCTTCTAGAAAGGGGAGGGCTTAGTGCATTCCCTGTCCCTCCTGCCCCAAATGGCCCTGTCCTGTGGGAATTCCCTGTATCCAGGGATCCACTGGTAAACCAGAATGTTCCATCAGTCACTGGGGTGAGAGAATGAGGGCTTTGATCCTGACCTTCACGCCCAGGTTTGGGGTCTCAGGGGCTGTTGGGGACCATTTTCACCTTCAGTTTTGGGGTCCAAGGTGTTTTGGGGGACCCTTTTCACCCCTAACATCTTGGACCCCCATATCCAGGGTGAGAAGGGTCCCAGAAAACACCCCGGGACCTCCAAATTTGGGGTGAAAAGGGTCCTCCCCTCACCTAGGATCCCCAAATTGGGGTGATAAAGGGTCCCCATAAACCCCAGGAACCCCCAAATTGGGCTGAAAAGCGTCTCCAAACTCCTGGGACCCCCCCATTGGTGGCTGGATGCAGTTCCAGGCTGAACTGCTCTGGTTAAAGCCTCTCTCCAGGAAGCTGCTGGGACAATGTGCAGTTCCTGGCAGGGGCTGGAGCAGGACTGGCACATTCCTGGCCTGCCCACGGGCTTGGAGCTGTGCTTTGCTGCCTGCTGAGCCTGTGCCCTGGGCATGTTTCATGCAGACCAGGGACGTTTCCTCATGTACCACTTGCTCTGGGGCTTAAATCAGTTCAGTGGAAGCAGGAAAGCTTCAAATATTAACAAACTGTGGGATCCCAGATCAGGAGTTGATGTTCTCTTTTAATAATCTGGGCCCATTCAAAGTATGCTCGTTAAAGGAAAGCCAAGTTGAATTATTCTGCAACTGCCTACTCAGCTTTTTCTTCAAATGTCAATGCTAAAAGGTCTCCAGGGAGTACTTTTAAAGCATGTATGAGATAGTTAGTCAGTGTTTGTAAAATTACCACTTAGCTGGGAAAAACAGAAATGTGAATAAAACCTGGGTGAGCTTCTCATTGCTCAGAGCTGACTGCTAAAAACTCTGGAAACACAGGCCCTGCACGACACTCATTCAAGTATTTCCTGCCTCAACCCAAGACAGTTTTTGTCATGAAATAGAACAAAGAGAATCTTCCTCCCTCAATTATTCATCAGGCCATTTGCTGGAGCTGAGTGCAGTGAGACGTGATTGACCCCGAGAGGTGGGGAGTCATCTGGGGAGCTGGGAGTGCCCAAAGGAGATGTCACAGGTTTTTCAAACGGCAGAGGAGATAAGGGAGGGGAAAGTCTGGTCGAAAGGGATGGAGGTGGTGACACGCTGAGGTCTCTGGGAGCACACACGGGGCAGCTCCATCTGGTGGTGGAAAACATGGAAAACCCCGGGAAATGGGTTTTCAGAGCAGAGAAAACGGGCGTGACAGAGCAGCCTGGGCTGAGTTCCTGGTCCATGGAAACCCCCCTCCCTGTGTCTCCGGAGCCCACTGAGGATGTTGTGGGTTTTCCATAAAGCCTTGCAAACAAACCGGGCTTTTCCTCCTGTTTACTTTTAACAGGGATTTTCTTATCTAGTGTTTCGTGTAGGAACTTGAGCCAGTGGGGATGGAGAGGTTAAAAATAGCCACTGGTGCCTGGAGCAGGGTCTGCTGGACAGCTTCAAATCCAGCTCTTGGTTAGGAAGTAGTGGATGGAGATGATGAAGAGCCTCAGTAATTCCCTGCTTGTCTCCCCCAATATTTCTGAGCTCCCTCTCAGTATTTCTGACATGCTGTCACAGCTCTGATCCCAACTCCTCGCTCTTCCCAGCCTTCCTCCTGTGCTCTAAGTAGGAATTGGGATCTGGAGTCACTAATGAAGATATTTTGATGGACAGGGTGTTCCTGCTGAGATCACTGTGATCCCAGTGCTGTCCAGCAGGGAAGCACCTCTGCCTTCCTGCGTGGGAATGAGGGCTGCCCTGATCCTCACTGTGGTGTGGGAGAGAGCCAGCACAGAAATCCCAAGTCCTTGTTTATAAAAATGGATGTATTTTAAGATCTGTAGAATTCTAATATGTAGTTTTTGTCTCCTTTGCACAAGAAGGATTCCTGGTGAGTGAGGAGCAGCAGCAGCTCCTTCTCTCCCCTGGCTGGTGCTTGGCACAGTGAGTCACACTGGAATGACACGTAACTGCATGTATTTATCTCAACTTCCATGGATCTTCCACCATAGATTCCTTATCTTTGTTTTATTGATTTACTTTCTGTGATATTACAAGCAAAACTGAAACAATGTCCATTGGGAATAATCACATTTGATCCTTGGCTCCCTCAAGCTGTTGCTTAATCCCATGGGAAGAGCAGGACAAGGTTTAGAATAAATGGTTGACAACATCTGACAGTTAAAATTCCTCAGGCTTTATAACTGCAAGGTTTTGCTCTGTGTTCTCTTGTGCACTGAAGGTGCTCAGAATACCTAGAGGGTCTTTCACCTCCCCTTATCTTCTTCAGAAGGGCTCGAGGGGACAAAGTTCATCCCACCTTGTGGCAGTAGAAGAATTA